GTAAAAACGTTCATGATGAAGGCAGCGGAGATCGTGTGCCCTGAAAAGCACCAAGCTTTTGCAAATATCAGCCTGACCAGAAACACAATTCCAGACAGGATTTCTGATATTTCAGCAGATTTGGACAGCCAATAAAAGGAAAGAGTAAAGTCCGTTATTGCTTTTTCAGTTGCTATTAATGAAAGCACGGACATTACAGGTGTTGCTCAACTGGCGATTTTCATCCACGGAGTTGATGACACGTTGACCGTCACTGAGGAGTTTGTTGAGGTGGTGCCCATGACGGATACAACAGCAGCTGATATTTTCACCGCACTCGTTGGAGCGCTGGACAGGGTCGGAGTGCAATAGTCCCGCGCTGTAAGCCTCGCTACAGATGGTGCGCCCTCAATGACTGGGAGAAGCAGGTTTTAATTTACCGGTCTGGCCCACTTGGAACTAGATTTTCCTCAATGTGGCCCCTGAGCTAAAATGAGTTTGACACCCCTGTTGTAAACGGTATACCAATAAATTGTTGTAAACATAGTAGTGGCAAATGTATCTAGAAAAGAAGAAAAAGGGTTATAAACTACTTCTATACTACCTTTCGGAGGCGAACCTGCGCAAAACTGCGTGCCAACCTTCCTCCATAACCACTTCACCACCACATCTGATATAAAAGCTAGTGGCGTTACATGTAATTGTGCCATCCAGTGTGACTTTGTAGATGGGATTTATGGTTTTTCCCACGGTGTCTCAGTAGAAGTCATTTCAGAAATAATTTGTCAGAAAATTCACAGAATATCCAGATTTGAGAACCAAGACCAGACCCGCTTCGGGGGAGGAGACCAAATTGAAACAGAGATGGGAGGAAAATGCATGAATGAGGCCAAAAATGGCTTTGGCGTTAGGGCTGTCGCGGTAACCGCAAAAATGAAATATCGCGATATGAAGAAGCCCACCGCGCTGCATCATGGGCCACCGCGATTACTGAACTTGGTTCAACTCAATGATGCATGTTGAGAAGGACGGCTGCACTGGTATCAAAACGAAACGTTACTTCGCTCCTTTGGGAGCACTTTGGTTTTCAGTACGTCAGCTGCTGCGCAGCCAGAGTCCTTGGCCGAGACAGAGCTGCCACCAGCGGCAAAAATAAATAAATGCTCGGAGACCTGCTAAAGTCCCGGACAAGCACTGCTTCTGCAACCGTCCTGAAGAGAGTTTGAGCCGAGCTGGAGCTCACTCGCTACCTGCAGGAGGAATGCATCCACCCTAAAGAAACCCCCCTGACATGGTGGAGCAACAACCGGGAGAGATTCCCTTTGCTCGCCAGTCGCAGCAAGTACGTGTGCGTTAGTGCAACGAGCGCACCATCCCAGAGGGTTTTCAGTGTTGCTGGAAATGTTGCCACCCCTCTCAGATCCTCTCTCAAACCGTATATGGTTAACATGCTGGTTTTCCTTGTATGTAACAAGGACGTGACCGAGCTATAAATCACCGTCATTCGTGTGTGTGAAAGTGAAATGATAGTGCGCCCGCCCCCCGGCGCGCACGCTCCCGGTACATGTAATTTTTTATGCTTGATTTTAAACAACTAAACAAAATGGGGACTTGTTTCTTATTTGTTAGATGCTGCAGCCAAATTTGCATTTAAAAGTTTAACCTTCTCCTGAATGTTGTTGTTTTTAAGTTCAGTCGGACTCCGACTGTCGGAGAAACAAACGTTACTGCGATCTGTGTTGTTACTGCCCTTTGATCTGCATTCAGTAAAGTGTTATAAAGAAGGCACGGCAATTTTTAACCCTTTTAAAATGTGTAAACATGATGTTTAGATAGTACTGCAATAAAAAAGGGCTGCAATAATATCGCACACCGCAATATTAAGCCACCCTGAATCACCGCAGGGGGAATTCCTCAACCGCGACAGCCCTATTTGGCGTGTTTCTTATGAGGAAATGACAATATAACATGGTAAAAAGTTCCAAACGTTAGATTTTTAATTATATGGAAGCTTTACAAAATCTGTTCAATTAACTTCTCAACTCCGTCCTCAATCTTGCATTTTAGATGATATTAGCTATAACACCCTCTTTGGTTCCAGAATGCAATCAAGTCTGACAACTGGAAGGAATTGGACTGACTTTGATGGAATGGGCGGGGCTGACTCTGGTGCAGCTCCGCCTTTGTGGTTCTGCAGCGAGCACCACTTGTATCTTTTCACTCCTCCAGACACGCAGGAATTAAACGTTCATGTTTTTAGAGTTTTTTCGCGAGGTATTCTTCAAGCTGCTTCGTGTCTGCCGCTTGTTATCCTGAGCTCTTTTTATGTTTTTGAGGGCGCAATGGCGGCGGTGTAGACGACAGTGGCGTCCTGACCAATTACAAGCTTGCGTTGTCCGTCTCGACGGACGGATGTTTAGAAAAGAGAGCTCGACTCCATCCATCCTTGCGGAGCTCTCCAGCAGGCCAGCAAATACGTTGCGTGTCTCCGCACTGACGCAGACGGAGAAACATGAATCAGGCTTAAGTCTGCTGCTGTTGTGTCCTTAAGCAAGACACTTAACCCATCTTGCCTGCTGGTGGTGTTCAGAGGGACCGGTGGTGCCACTGTACGGCAGACTCGCCTCTGTCAGTGCGCTCCAGGGTGGCTGTGGCTACAGAGTAGCGCATCACCACAAGAGTGTGAATGTGTGTGTGAGAATGGAGGAATGACTGATTGTGTTGTGTGATTGTGGGGGCCACAAAGAGAGGTCCCATGCGCCACACATGGCCTGTGGGCCGCCTATTTAGGACCACTGCTTTAAAGATTTTAAGTGTCTTGCGAGGGGAGAGCAATAAGAGGTGTGGGCCAGCCTTGAGACCTTGCTGCAGGAAAAGTAGAAAGAAGCCAGCAGGACGGAGCCAGAAAAGAAAAAGAGCCTGCTTCTTTCTTCTTTGTCTTCCGATTCAGATTCAGATGAGGACACCGTGTGTAACAGGGTCCTGACTTTGTACAGAGCAGAATCCACCATCAACGAGACTGACTGCCCGCTACAGTAGTGGTCCAGTCGAACACAACCCCCCCCCCCCCCCCCCCCCCCCCCCCCCCACAGCTGGCTATCCTGGCCCGCTAGTATCTCATTAGCCCTGCCACTTCTGTCCCTTGTGAGAGGCTCTTCTCACTTGCAGGTCACATTGTAACAAAAAAGAGCCGCTTTGAGCTCTGAAAATGTGAACAAGCTAGTCTGAGTAAATGGCTGAAAGAAAAGAAGAATAAGTAAGCATGGAGGTGTTGAAAGTCCAAAGGATTTGTTATGTTCTGCACTAAAATGTACAAGGATTCAACTCTATTAACCTAATGTACAAAGCGTGTTGTGTTAATGTGACTCTGAATTTAAAAGTGAAGCTGGTCTCTGTCTTACAGTTTAAGAAGAAAAACTGCCCTTTATGTTGACACTTTCATTATTATTAATATCATTTTTTTATTATCATTTAAATACAATCCCGTTACAAAAATGTACTCGACAAAGTCTCGCACTTTTAGTTCTGTCCTATTTTTGTCAGGGATATATATTATGTTGCTACTGTTTTGAATTGAAATGCAATTTAAATGCACTTTTTTCAGAAATAAAAGGAGTTGAGTTTACAATATTATTGTCCATGTCAATAGTTTTAGTCTGTGCCTCAGTAAAATTATTTTTAATTAAAATAGCATTGAGGACAAATAGATTAATTAAAAAGCCTCTAATTAATTAATTAATTAATTATTTTAATCAAGTCCCACTCCTAACGTGTGTGTGTGTGTGTGTACAGTATAGGCCAAAAGTTTGGACACACCTTCTCATTCAATGCTGTCTTTATCTTTATGACCATTTACATTGGAAAAATCTCACTGAAGGCATCAAAACTGTGAATGAACACATGAGGAGTTATGTACTGAACTAAAAAAGGTTAAATAACTGAAAACATGTTTTATTTTCTATTTTCTACAAAATAGCCACCCTTTGCTCTGATTACTGCTTTGCACAGTCTGGGCATTCTCTCGATGAGCTTGTCACCTGAAATGGTTTTCCAACAGTCTTGAAGACTACCTCTTGAAGCTCATCAAGAGAATGCCAAGAGTGAACCAGAGCACTCTGACGGACAGTGGACCACTGGAGCAAGACGGAAACGGGCAATTACAACTTGAGATTGATGAGATACAACACAAATACTATGGCAAGTGGGAGCCAGGACACAAGGTCAGAGGGGAGTTACCATCAACTCCCCATCCAGAGACAAACAATACTCCAATATTCCAAGGTTTGAGGCCAAAATCAAGGCAGCACAAAGAGAAGTGAGCCAACTGTCAGAGCTCCAGAAAGGCACAATGAGAAAAACAATGGCCAAAAGCTACAGCCAGAAACCCATACCTGAAGCACTAGACACTGACAAACAGAGGCTCCAAGCCATGGCCAGCCGCCTAAGAGATACACGAGAGAAAGTTGTCAGACAAATAAACCCGCTCTCGGGTCGAGACATCTCCATCTATCCACATCCACGGATTCACCTGCCTGTCGGAGCATTTCACTACTGGTTGGTCAGATGCTGCTGCTGTCAATCACTGCAGGAATGTGCACTGTATCAAATAACTCATCACTTTTTGTCTCTGCTCTTGCCTAGGCTGATGGTGGCTGAGCTGATGGAGCTGTATGTGCACTGTGCCTCATGTCAGTGATGCACCCTTTGAGCACTTGGAGAAAATGGGTCCTCTTGTACAAAATGAGGCCCCTCATTGAACATGTGTTCTGCGTATCAAGAGGGGCGGCACTGTGGGAACTGTAAATAACTGGTGTTTAATTGAGATTTCAACTATGACCAAAATAACTATCGGTACTAACCTTACCCTGGGGAAAAAAAGTGCTGAGGGGTTAAAATTAGAAGTAGCAGTAATGCGTGTGGGCCCACTTAATACACTGCCATTACTACGTGCAGAAACCCTGGAAGAACCAACCCAGAATCTGGACCCAATCACTGCAGATAGGTTCTAACACAGAACTCACCATCTGTGAGGCCAAACAATGTGAAGAGGCTTCACCTGGGCTGCCGACGCCACCTCCCTGACAGGAGTCCCAATGGTTTTGGACCCACAGGGGGGCCGAAGCAGACTGGACCTGTAGGAACAGAATCTTAGGGTCTGGATTAATACATTGGACATGTGAAGATATTACAAGAAAACGGTTGTCCCCCTACTGCCGGATGACGTCATCATCTTGAGACTGTCTCCCCCGTTTCCTGATGATATCATCATCCTCAGACCTCTTTTCAGAACAAGGATGTCTGGTTCTTTTGTGTTCTGGTAGCAGACTGAAACACAGAGCAGAACCAAGCTGCTTTTTATATTCATTCCAATGAGATTCTTTGATGTGTTTGTTAGTCATTTGCGCTGGTAACCAATATCAGGAATCTGCTTCAATATAGTAATGTCCTATGCCTTATGACCCTTTTAAAGTTTGAATGATGTTTCTATGTTATGGGTGCAGATTTCTGTTTAGCCAGAAGCCTGATCACTCTCAGCCAATCAGAGAGCAGAAATAGAGAGGGGTAGTTCCCTGCCTTTTTCCTGGCTGTTGGAGTCAAACACAGTTGCATTGACATTAATGAGAAAAGCTTTGGATCAAAGTATTTCACCTATTCAAAAAATGTCAAAGGCATTGGGAGAAAAAGGCTTGGATGGTGATCTGGGTGAATATTTGTGAGCCTAACTCATGTTTTCAGGAGATATGATGAGATAATCTCAGCTGTCCGACAATGAGATTATCTCTTTTTTATGATGGAGCCCAATGGCAGAAAACTTGGCACTTTTCTCACTTTGACGCCCATATCACAAGAACCATAAGATAATACGTTCCCTTGAAGCTGACAAAAAACCTACTGGTTTTTCCAAAATCCATGAGTCCACGCAAAAAGATGTGGTCGCAGCAGAAATTTGTTTGGAATATTTATCTCAGTCAAACATGTTCAGCTCTACTCTAGAGTGGGGAAAAACATTTTTTAAACTTGAACATTCTCAAAACAAATTAACGCTACTACCACTATTTGTTTAGTACATTCATGAATTGTGGCTAAAAACGTAGGATTGTCTGTCAGCTGTAGGCCAGTGTGTGTCTGATTTTGATATGACCTACAGTTCCCTCAGGACACTGCCTGAAATGGAGCAAGGGAGGGTCGGCCCTCCTACACGCTCCATTATCTTGAACATTTCTGAATGATCCTAAATCATACCTCAAACATAAACTGTGATTTTAGAAAAACTGTAAAAGGTATCAAGAAGCAGTCATATAGTAATAGCTGATACTGTTGTGACTGAATCTTTCAATGTAGTCTCCAAGTTATGTATGCCAAAGTAATGTAAGTTCAAATGGATGAAAGGATTTTGAAGGATTTCCCATGTAATCCAATAGGCCAAAAACTTGCAGAAAAAGTTGGGGGGGTCCACAAAAATAAACTATCAGAAAAAAAAGAAAAGGGGCACACAACAATACAACAGGAGCAAACTATCACTGCAACAACCTGATGAGGAAAAATAAAATCAACATTGTTTTTCTGAACAATCGCGATAATAAATCACAGTGCATTAAGTGCCAACGACAGCCTTAAGACATGTGTTAAACGTGCCGAAGTCTATCCTTATGAGAGCACCATGTGAGCACGTGTGTGCATACTCGCGCTTGTAAGGTTTCTCTATAGGAGCATCCAATAGAGAGTGTGAGGGGCCACAGATCCGCCCCCCAAAGATGCGAGATGGAAGGAGCTCCAAGTCTCAGAGATCCAGGAGCTGCCCCAGAGCACAGGGACCCTAGGGAGACTGTGACCAGAAAAGCCCCTGCCCCGGGGTTGGACTTTCTACCACTCTGGAGTTGCTCCCACAAAGAGGCGCCGAGCAGGGGTGGGCATACTAGTTGCCCCCCATCTTGGTGCCTGTACGTTGGGGTTTACCCCAGTGAATGAGAGGGTAGCCTCCCTCCACCTACGTGTGGGGGGATGGGTGCTGGCTGTGGTCTGTGCTTATTCATCAAACTACAGTTCAGACTACCCAACCTTCTTGGAGACCTTGGAGGGGGTGCTAGAGAGCGCTCCTTCCGGTGACTCCCTCGTTCTGCTGGGGGACTTAAACGCTCACGTGGGCAACGACAGTGAGACCTGGAGAGATGTGGTTTGGAGGAACAGTTCCGTGATCTGAATTCGAGTGGTGTTTTGTTATTGGACTTCTGTGCTACTCATGGATTGTCCATAATGAACACCATGTTCAGACGTATAGGTGTCCATATGTGCTCTTGGCACCAGGATACCTTAGGCCGCAGCTTGATGATCACCTTTGTTGTTGTTTCATCTGACCTGTGGCCGCATGTCTTGGACACTCAGGTGAAGAGAGGGGCGGAGCTGTCAACTGACCAATGCCTCGTGGTGAGTTGGTTTCGATGGTGGGGGAGGAAGCCGGTCAGACCAGGCAGGCCCAAACGTATCGCGAGGGTTTGCTGGGAACGTCTGGCAGAGTCTCCTGTCAGAAGGAGCTTCAATTCCCACCTCCGACAGAACTTCAAAAATGTTCCGGGGGAGGCGAGGGACATTGAGTCAGAATGACCATGTTCCGTGCCTCCATTGTTGAGGTGGCCGAACGGAGCTGTGGTCACAGGATTGTCGGTGCCTGTCATGGTGGCAACCCCCGAACCCGCTGGTGGACACCGGTGGTTAGGGATGCTGTCAAGCTGAAGAAAGAGTCCTATCAGGTCTTTTTGGCCTGTGGGACTCCAGAGGCAGTCCGAGCGGATTGCGGCTCGGGTGGTCAATGAGGTAAAAGCCCAGGCGAGGGAGGAATTCAGTGAGACCATGGAGCAAGACTTCCGTACGGCTTTGAGGAGATTCTGGTCCACCATCCGGCGCCTCAGGGGGGGAAAGCAGTGTGCTACCATCACTATTTATAGTGGGGAAGGTGTGCTGCTGACCTCTACTCAGGGCGTTGTGGATCGGTGGGCAGAATACTTCGAAGACCTCCTCAATCCCACTGTAGAGGTGTAAATATTGTTGCTTTTAAGCTCAATACATTACCTTTACTGATGACTAGGAAGATGTGATATGCTATATAGGATTAACTTAACTTTAATTTATCTCTAATGAACCTTGTGTGAGTGTGGATGATGATGGCCTTGTCATATCAAACATTACTGATCCATATGTAAATCTTTCAGTGTAATAATAACATAACATTCATTTCAAACTTCAGTAATTCAAACAAAGATTAATGAAAACATTATTATTATTATTCATATAATATTTGTTCATCCAACCATATTATGATTTAATGATTAATTAACTTATAAATTTTAAATGTTCACATTATATTTAAGAGTTCATTCTTTGATTAAGCAACTCATATGAGCTGAGAGTGTTCACTTTATTCAGAGGCATGAGGAGTCCTGTAGAACGATAAGGGAAGCTTGAGGCCTTGAGAAAGGAACATGATGTTGACAATACATTATCATGTGTTCAGAGCTGCAGAGAAGATTTGTACTCCAGCTGATGGAATGCAGGATCAGGCAGATTAAAGGCGACACATGTAGACTCCTGTCTCTATATGACCAGATGCCGAAGTGGTCAACTGTACATGAAAAACCGACCATTTGTGGACGTTACACAACCAACACATCTTCCAGTGAGGAAGCAGAGTCTGGGGACTTTGAATTGGGCTCGCAAATCTCTGGTGCTGATGTCACTGAGGTGGTTAAAAAGCTTCTCTGTGGCAAGGCTCCAGGGGTGGATGAGATCCGCCCAGAGTTCCTTTAGGCTCTGGATGTTGTGGGGCTGTGTTGGCTGATGCGGCTCTGCAATATTGCGTGGACATCGGGGGCAGTCCCACTGGACTGGCAGACCGGGGTGGTGGTCCCCTTATTTAAAATGCAGGACCGCAGGGTGTGTTCCAACTACAGGGGATCACACTCCTGAGCCTTCCTAGTAAGGTCTATTCAGGGGTTCTGGAGAGGTGGGTCCGTCAAATTGTTGAACCTCAAATTCAGGAGGAGCAATGTGGTTTTTGTCCTGGCCGTGGAACACTGGACCAGCTCTATACCCTTGGGGGACCCTGGAGGGTGCGTGAGAATTTGCCCAACCAATCTACATGCGTTTTGTGGATTTGGAGAAGGCGTTTGACCGTGTCCCTCGGGGGGCCATGTGGGGGGTACTCTGGGAATATGGGGTACCAGGCCCTCTGATATGGGCTGTTAGGTCCCTGTATGACCAGTGTCAGAGCTTGGTCCGCATTGCCGGCAGTAAGTCGGGCTCATTCCCAGTGAGAGTTGGACTCCGCCAAGGCTACCCTTTGTCACCGATTCTGTTTATAACCTTTATGGACAGGATTTCTAGGTGCAGCCAAGGTGTTGAGGGCATTTGTTTTGGTGGCCTGAAGATCAGGTCTCTGCTTTTTGCAGATGATGTGGTCCTGTTGGCTTCATCAGAAGGTGATCTTCAGCTTTCGCTGGAGCGGTTCGCAGCCGAGTGTGAAGCAGCTGGGATGAGAATCAGCTCCTCTAAATCTGAGACCATGGTCTTGATTCGGAAAAGGGTAGAATGCCTTCTCCGGGTCAGGGATGAGGTCTCGCCCCAAGTGGAGGAGTTTAAGTATCTCAGGGTCTTGTTCACGAGTAAGGGAAAACTGGAGCGTGAGATCGAAAGGTGGATTGGTGCTGCATCTGCAGTGATGCGGGCATTGTACCGGTCTGTCATGGTGAAGAGAGAGCTGATTCAGAAGGCGAAGCTCTCGATTTACCGGCCGATCTATGTTCCTACCCTCACCTATGGTCATGAGCTTTGGGTAGTGACCGAAAGAACAAGATCGCGGATAGAAGCCGCCGAAATGAGTTTTCACCGCAGAGTGTTTGGGCTCTCCCTTAGAGATAGGGTAAGAAGTTCGGTCATCCGGGAGGGACTCGGAGTAGATTCGCTGCTCCTCCATATCGAGAGGAGCCAGTTGAGGTGGCTCGAGCATCTGGTCAGGATGCCTCCTGGATGCCTGCCTGGTGAGGTTTTCCAGGCACGTCAAACCGGAAGGGTGCCTAGGTGTAGACCCAGGACATGCTGGAGGGACTATGTTGGGGATTTCACCGGAGGAACTGGCCCAGGTGGATGGGGAGAGGACATAGTGCCCCCACAACTCGACTCTGGATAAGCGGATTAAAATGGATGGATGGAGGGAATAATCAAGATCTTGATTTCAGTCAAAACAATCAGAATGATAATTTTTGCCATAATGGAGCAGCCCTGGCATAAGGTGAAACCAGCCTGGTGGGAATCTGGGTCAATGTCTGGATCTG